AAACTAATAGTCATGGAAATAAAAATGCTAGAAAGTTAATTTTCGTGTTCGGTTACATGTGTGAGCCACTGTATATAACGTCACTGTATATAACTAGTTGACACTCGAATCTAAAATAACTCCATGTTATTCAAGCAGCGATCCATATCGAGCCTATTGTTTTTATTCTTGATGAATTTGATGAATTCATTGTATATCGATATAGAAAAGCGAATTTTATTGCGGATTAACATTGCCAATGCATATACAATTTACTAAATAAATAATAACTGTAAATGATGATTTTCATATTTGCTTATTTTCTTGATGAAAGTTAAAATTTAAAAATAAAGTTAGAAACAGAATATAGAATTCGCTAATAAAAGTAATAAAGGTTTTGTTGTTGCTCTTGATTGATACTATAGGGAAGAAAGGCGTGATGACAATATTCTTCGAAAAGGATTTTAGCGTCGTGAACAAGTCTTTGATATTCAGCCTTGATATACTGGGGCTCTTGTATCCATAAATTCCCGGCAATGATGGATAGATCACACATATTTGGGTAATAATTTCTTGCTGTCAATTCTTTCTGAAGTGCCATTCGATATGCGAAAAAGGAATTCGGTGTTTTTGAAATTTTTCCAGTTTTATGTAATTTTTCTACCGCATTAACTATCAATTCTTCGACCGAAAGATTTGGAGGGAATTGTGGTCTGATCGTGTTGGTGTTCATTTTTATCGTTGCTTCATAATTTGAAGTTTGAATGTCAAGTATTTTTTTTAAAAATAAAAGAATATATCAAAACAGCTTACCTGATTTCGAACAAGTAGCCAAAGAGAAAATACTTATCTTGGGATTGAGAAGACGATGACACTCTATTTAAATAGATACTAAATGCAAATCTAAAATTTCTTTCGAATTTGTACATACATTAATTAATTAATTATATTGGGAAAAAATCCCATTATTCTAACGTTCAAAGGTACTACGAAGTAACCAAGACTACGTTCGATAAAAAACTTTTCCGTATTTAGATCGCCTCGCTATTATTGGATTGATTTGAAAAACGATTAAAGGTCCATATGGCCAGGGATAAAGCAATTGTGTTGTAGTCTATTGTGGTGTCATCTTTAGTCACAGGTTCTTTCTGCTGAAAGGTAGTTTCTATATGGTCAGGGACTCTTTAAAACAACATTAATATCTAGTGTGTACACAAACAATACTGACAGCATTGAATGTATAGTGTGATCTGAATACTAAAGAGAATTATTTTCACTATGGTTGATCATGGCTAAAAATGGAACCACAATAAGTTGCGTTGAACATGACATCTATAGTCAAAGCAAATTGGCGGTGGTTGTCAGAAAAACCAAATTATATAATTTGCTTGGTTTTTACTGACAATCCCCGATTGTATACTTTAACTTCTTAATTAGAAAGCAAATACAAAAATTTACGATTAAATTTTGTATTTACTTCCTAATTAAGAAGTTAAAATTTGTTTTGATTATAGCGATAGGTGTCATGCAGTATAAAGATCCATATGGTCAGGAGTTCTCAAAAAACAACATTAAAAACGTTGAGTGTATATATAGGGTATACATAATACTGATAAAGGTGAATTATTTGAGTATATGCTTGGTTCCGAGTATAAAGAATCCTTCTAAATAATAATCGAATTACGTAGTAAGAATAATTTTCTGAATTCCAGTTTTACATTAGAAAAAGAACGAATGTTTAGAGATTGCTTATGTCAAATTCACAAGTAACACTTTACTTGTGAATTATTCAATTTTATAATTTAATCTTAGGATTACTGCATCCTTGGCTCCAAAGTCTTCTTCATATCCAGAGTCACAGAATGTACTTTTTTACTTGAGCAAATAAAAAAGATAAAAAAAATCATATACATGTATATAAAAAATACAAAATAGAATTTTGCAAACCGTTATTCCATCAGATTTTATTTATTCTACTCACTTTCAGTTAATGGGTAATTACTATACAAATAGTAAAATCAACGTGTAACGTAAAAATTTCGCCCATGAAACTAATGTTGTTATCTTTGTGTAACCTTTACCCTGATCCTAATTAATATCGATATTACGGGGATATCTTCAGGTCGGAATCACATGACTCAAACATTCCGAACATTTTTTCGCCATTTCGAACATTTTTTCGCCATTTTTAGGTTAAGGAGAGTGACAAATATTAGCTAATTTCCATTTTGTTATAGGGACCTCCCCCTCCTAAGACACATGCACGTGAGATTATATTAATACCTGAGCTTGGCCATCCTCATAGCGATGGTCCTTCGATCCATCCTGATCGAAACGATTCGATCCTCATGGGGATGGATCGTTGGAACCAACGGTCATGTTATATAAAATTCCATACCTTGTGGCTTCCAGTGCAATTTTGCTGTAGTAATTCCATCTTTTTGACCCCGTATTAGTTTTTTTTTCATCAAAATAGCTGTCTATAATACATGCCATCAAATCTGAAACTCTACGATCAATTTCATTTTTCAATTCGGTCCGTGATCATAGTTTGGTCCGATTAACAGCCCTTACTATTTTATAGTTAAGTTTTGAATATGGTTTCTATTTAAGTGCAAATCATGTCGAACTTCCATTATATCTAACGCCCTACCAAACTCCTTTTTATTATATTGAAAGCTAGGATGCCTCCATCAAGCAATTTGGAAAAATTAATGAATCGCTAAAGAAGAACGTCCTAGTAATCGATGAAACTCCAATCAATCACTTTGAACTTGACTCAAAGATAAAACTTATTCCAATACCACAAACGCCTATTCTGTTGTTATGGAACTCAACAATATGGTAGTGTGACTTCAGCTTCAATTTTAGCGAGACCAGATGTGGCATTCACATCTAAAGAAACCTAGATCAACAACTTTCCATCTCATATTTGTTCAAGAATAAATAGTAGTATCCATATATAGAACTAGGAGTATAGAAAATCTACACATTCAAGGACCGAAATGGTACTGAGTCTTGCAAACATAATTGGCACAATGTTAATTATAATGAGGCCTTGCCGGGTTTTATGCTGGGAATCCGGTTGTTAGAGGCTGCAATCTTACTATTATTTTGATTTATTATGTGTGGATTGGCTGTCAAAATCATTTTCCTACATGTGATGCAATCTTTCCAAACCCGTATACTTTCATGAAATCGCAAGCTGTAGAAAGATTAACGCGTTTCTTGCATGTTCAAGATTTTTTGTTGATGATCATAAACCAAGAATTATAGAAATAATATTAAAAAAAAATAACCTCTATCTAATCGACTTGAGATAATATTACATAAATACATTAATTTTTTATCAACACACTCCCAACTCCTCTCCCGCCTTTTTCAGACACTCTCGTAAAAGTACAGAAATGAGCTCATTTGCACTAGAGATCGCATCACACAGTACCGGATATAAGTAAAATAGATGGGCAATAGGTCCAGATAGAACTTGATCGCGAAGAGGACCTTTATTATTGAGATATTTTATTTAACAAGGAATTATGTCTGCGCATCAGCATAAACGATTAAGAATTACAAAGTGAAAAAAAGTGTGAACTTACTTGTCTGCATCCCATCATCCACATCGTCAACGTGCAAAATGTTTCTACGAAACCGTAGTTTTATCAGTTGTTGTAAAATCAAGAGTATTTCATCGTTGCGAACCCTGGAAGAAATACTAACATTATGAACAAATGTCGAAAAAAATTGCGAAGTGAAAATTGGGAGACCACTTATATTTATAAGTTCCTCATTGAGAGAAAGACGAACCTTGAAAGTGGAAATTTGCCCAGTAATGGTTGATCGGCGGTAAAATTGCGCATAACTGATGCACACCGTTCAAGCAATACTGGCGCAGCAATTTCTGCTATTCTCTGCCGTGCTTCATGATGATCTGAAAATAATAACATCATAGATTGATTACTTTTACTGTAAAACAAGCTAATACGAATTGATCTCAGCACGCTCACCAGTATTAACATCCGAGCAAAAATTGAACAAACACGTTAAACACGCATATGCAAATCGCTCCCTTGGTACCGGGACAATTTTCGCTGTTGTGCCTTCCACCTTGGTAATTGTTTGTAACGGTTGTCCTTCTGATCCATTTATTATTGGCGGAAGAGGTTTATCCAAATTCCCGTTCAGATAATGATTAGTTTGTCGTTGTACATCCATGGAATATAATTGCGAGCCCTTCTCTATGATTTTTACTAGTTGCCGTGTTAATTCAACTGGTACTCGAGGATGACCCATGTGTATTAATACTTCTGATTCGAGGTTGAATAGGAATTTCATGTCAAACGCTTCGTCAGAATCTTGTTGTTCGATTTTTAGCGAGGATGGAGGTTGACTGCAAAGTTTAACAAATCAGAATATGAGTGAACTTGCATAAAGAAACATCGTTAAAAAACCAATCTGATAATAATACCTGTTAGCAAGCAAAGATCCATGCAGTACATCGATCAATTGCCTCCACACATTAACAAAACTTTCTTTAGGAATTTCTACAAATTTTGTTATTTAAAATTTTGAATTCCATTTCGAGTTTTTAATTTAAAGTTGAAAGCAATACCTTCTCCAAAACTTTCCATCGACACTAGTCCAATTTTTACCACTTCAAGAAAAGCTTTTGTGGCAATTTTCCATAAATCAGTATCTTCGGCATGTTTGGTGGCTATTTGAGGGCAATTGTATTTCAGCTTCATCGGCATTCCATACGCCTAATTGAGAAAATAAATTTTACTATTAACATCAAAATTCTCTCATAATAAAAAAAATAGATTGATTACATACCGCAATAATTTTCGCAAATACTCCTTCTGAATATACTCCTTGATCGTTAACAAATTTTCTAAACAAATCAACTGCAATTCGCATCGCTGTTTTTGAGAAAGCAATGAAAGTAACCGTCGAGAATGATTTCGACGCCGAGCTGCTCCTTTCACTTTTAGGTGGAAGTGGCGGTGGTTGTGCAAGTAACTCAGCTCTTTCATAATTCACTTGTTGCGAAGAATCATCAAGATTTCGGAAAGCTAAAGTAATATAATCTGCTAAATCGTTCAATATAGCAGCAGGAGCTCCTTTCACATTCAAATCGATTTTACTAACAAGATCCAATACTAATTCTTGTAAAGGAGTCAGATAATCTTGATCTGGTCGATAAGATGGGCTTTTAGAGTAGACAAGAACTCCGTGAACAACTTTTGATAATCTCTTAATTTCATCTATCTTAAAGTTTGTGTTTATAAATTTGTAAAGATCAATAAAAGTCGCTATATATGCAGTTAGCGTATCTTGGGTAAATCGAGAGACGTTTCCAGCGTTATCAGGGAAATGGATATTATCAAGATCTGTAATTATTCCCAAACCAATTTTTTCCCATATTACCCATGCAGTTTGCCATAGTGGAGAAATCTTTTCACGTAACCTTTGATCCGAATCATTAGGAAATTGGATTATTGTATGCATGGCTTTGATTGATGCGATTGCTACTTCATGACTCGAGTTTAAACAAGAGCCTTGTAAATGTGACAACAAAAGATCCCAAGCTTGTGGAAAATTCTCGAGGTTCACCAAGATGGCTAAAAAATTTTTGAAAATCCCAGAGACCCCATTCAATACCAAAACTTTGGTCTCGTCCCATTGTTTATCCACAGTGTTTCGCGAGTGATGTACCATGAATCCACGGGATTCTTGCTGCAAATTAATCTTTTCTATTTCTGTTCCATGCTGTTGTTGCATAGCCTTCAAAGCCTTGGAGGAAACGAGATTTACAGAGTCTAGCAGAGGAAACAATACTTTCCAAATGCAAGTATTCCACGTGTTGATTCCCAATACAGCACCATTCATATCAATTGTGCGGAACAATGTTTGGTTTGCACCATTGCGCACTTCGGGTCGAGGGTCTGAGCATATTTTCGACAGTTGTAACAATAACAATAACCACAATGCATTTGTTGTCCGCGAGGTCAAAGTAGATTCGATCATTTGATCAACTTCTTCATCGATGTTTGGAGTATCCTCGTGATCAGATGGTTGTGAATTATTTTCTAGTTCTGCACGTTTAGTTTGAATGAAATCAGATACATTCCATAGAAGACCAACAGCTGTCAAACTAATGTTCAAATCATCCATTTGTAATCCAAATGCACCCAAAGTATCGATGCATTGCCGTAAGCATTCTGGAGACAATAACACCAGAAAATCTGTACATATAAGTTGTAAACAAGGAAATGCTACGCGTACTAATCCGGTTGATTTTGTATTAGATACACCGAAAGATGAAGGTAGATCAACTACACTGACATTTTCAACACTCGAATTGTCACCAGTAACACCAACACCTCCTTCTTCCTCTTCAGAATCTCCGAAAGAAGACAAAACTACTACACTTCTGATCATCTCAAAAATCATGTTCCATCCATTCGTAAAAGAATGTCCAGAGGTTTGTAGTAATTTATTCAGAGTTTCAAGTCCCATTTTACGCACCTCGACATATTGTCCTTTATTTCCAATGCTAGTGGAAAGTCGCTCCGGATTATTTACGAGTTGATTAAGCGAAACCAATAATTGCAATTGAATCCGTTCATTGGATTCATTTTGATTCGAGCTAGCATGATTCATACTCGAAATGATAATTTCATCCAAGGATTCGCAGGCTTGCTTACGTATTGATTGTGGAACTGAAATAGAATTGGCTGTGGCAAGTAAATGTAATACTATCAAATCCCAAATGAGCGATGATGATTCATGGGTGACAAGACGATGCATGTTGAGCAATGCAACTATACGTAATTTCTCAATTGCAAATGATTTTTCATCGGATTTCTGAAATATAATTAAAATTTAGATATAATATAAACCTAGAAAATTTGCAACAAAATTGGTTATTCTTACATTTCCTCGTAGGGCAGTCAAAGGCGTAGTTTTGAAGCCTTTTTCAATTTTTTCAGAGTCTGCCCCTGCTGAAGTATCACCTTCCAATGATATACCGTTTGTTTGAGTGTTAAGTCTACATAATGCTTTTGTAAATGATTGCAAAGCTGCATCATCTAAATATTTGCTATTTTCAAAAATTTTTTTTATTTGTATCGATAATATGTTCAGATCATTGTCTATGGCTGATTGTTGAGAAGTTAGGCTAGAATTAGACGTTGAGGCTTGCGCAGATGAACCGACCGTTGTTCCGCCACCAGACGCAGCCGAACGTTTGCCTTTTATCGCTGTGGAGGTATTTGGTGGGTTTGTGCTAACAGGCAAAGAAATAGCGGAATTTGACGCATTTTGATGTGTGCCAATTCTACGTGAATTTTGAGGAGGCCCTCGAGCATATTTATGAAACAGAATAAAATCGGCCAGTTGAAGTGTTTCTAGCACTAAATACCACGAATCATCGAGCACCCCACCAAGATACTGCGCAATATTAAGCAAAGTTTTTAAACATGATAAATTTCGATCCGATAAAGAAACACCTGGAGTCTCACCAGCACCAGAATTGGCAGTTATACCCTGCGTTGCTTTATTTTCAGCTAAGGAAGCAGCGATAACACTTGGAGGTACTGCTCCTTTACATAAACTAGTCAAAAAAGCATCACGAGGTGTTATTAATTGAAGTGCACCACATACAATGGTGAAATTCTGATAGGCTCGCATTAAACTTTGAAAAAGTTCTTCATCCAAATTAGCAGTAAGAAAGAATGATTGTGCCGCTAGTAAACCTGGCCATGCTGTGTTTGCCATATCCTTGACAAGAAGAATCTCTTCATGATCTGGGTGAGTTTCTAACATTTGAAGATTCGCAGTGCCAAGTACCGAGGAATTATTATTAATATTTGATGAAACAACTGCGGAAGAATCCGTTGAGTCAGGTGAACTTTGAACGGTAATTTCTATGGGTGATTTTTCGTTTTGTTGTTTTTGAATTATTGGTGTGAGACTTGACATGACGAAATTGTGTAATCCGTCTGCTATATAATTGAGACATGATAAAGCCAGAAAATAGATATAGGTTTCTGGAATTTGTGGAGGGTCTGCTTTGTCCAGCTGATCAATACTTGAGATATATTATATAAAAAATATTAATCGTTTTCCTAATTTTACGCACTGTAGAACATTATTGTAAAAAATACCCACCATTGTATCTTCATTATAGAATTAACAATACTCAATCCAGGAGCGTCAGCATTCATGCTATTTGCTCCCGTAACATCCGAATTCTCAAGGGATTGATAATGAATTTGTCCCACCACAGAACTAACACCCACAACTTGCGGCTTCTCAGCCGCTAGCCTACCAAATACGTTAATCATATCACGAAACACATTGGTCGAATTATCTTGTCGATCGTACCATCGATAAAGAGATCTTAGGAATGTTCCGTCCCCGCTGCACACACCCCGAAATATTTCCATGGCAATTACACGTTGCCATAATGGGTTTTCGGGCTCCAAAATTTTTATAAACATTGTTAGAAAGATTTCACATTCTGTTACCTAATTTTTTTAGAATCAAAAATAATCGTAAATACGATGTTTCGATAATTAAACGGTAATTAAATCAAAAAGTATTTTTTAATGATATTACCAAAATTTCGTTAAACTGTTTGATTAGTATATCTACAACACGCATTAAACGCATAGTTTGTGGGAAATCGTGCTTATCCGAAAAAGTTTTAATTATCAATGGGCATATACGTTCTCGCAATACAGACAAAAATTCCGGATGCTAATTCACAGTAAATAAAACGCATGTTAATAAACTTATCGCAAATTTCTAATTCGCAATTCTTATATCATCTCGAGAATTTAAAAAAAATAGAAACCTTTTTAAAAAGTCTTAAATGATTAGTCAACACTGATTCAATCAATTCCAATCCAAAAGTCCTCGGCAAGGCATTCAATCGCAAAAACATGGCTGGTTCCAAATTAGTCAATAGACATAAGTCCTGAAATAAACAATACGCATCTCTAGCACAAGGCCTAAGCGCAATTTCGCCGTGTCCGTGAACGGAAACCACTGTCGAGGTCGGCTTTACTGAACCTAATGGATTAATTGCATTCATCAAAAATTAATATTTGAATTTATATTTATTTATAATATAATAATCGGAAATTTTATTAGTTGAATAAATAATTATTAATAATAATGCTTAAATACACACACCATCTTTATCAATAATCTCATCTTCTTTTTCAACCTTGTCAAAAATATTAATTACCAACTGTCGTAACGTCGCTGCTGCGGTATTATTCACCGCCATTATTTTGGAGTCTTGTAGTCGGAAACACACTAGTAATCCCTAAATATATGCATTGTTTAAAACCACCACACACTCTGTCAGAGAAATTTGTAAATATAAATAAATCGATTACCACCAACTCACACACAAAGAAATCATTCAAAAAGAAAAGAACCAAACTTCGGCCAACAGGTCTCCGGTTAAGGTCGAATAATTGTTCAGTAACGGAGGTAACGTTTGCAGAATCTTTAACTGAACTTCGACTCCCTGAGAGATTATGTCGTTCAATGTTTTGAGAATTGTCCTTACTGACGACTAATAGGAAGATGAATGTGATCTAGATTTTAGATTTCAAATTTTCATGTTCTTTTTTAACTGAAAACTGTCAAGTGCTTACCCCAGGAATAGCATGATGTGATATTAATTTTTGAATTGAACCGATCGAGATAGTAATTAACTTTGCATGTCTTGTTTCACAAGCGAGCAAAAATGGTCGTAAAAAATCAACGTTTTTAGCAAGCTCTACACAAATTTTAGGATCAGGTATAATTAATTGAAATTAAAGCTATAACAAATGCATGATAAATCTCGAGAAGTCTAATTACCTTGAGTGATATCCATTCCTGGACGCTCTTTTAATGTGCGTAGTATATATATAGATCTCTCAGCTGCCTATGATACAGAGAAAAATAAAACTACTAAAAAAAGAAATAACTAGTTAAGACGAACTAATTTCTAACCTCTTTAATTTCTGGATGCTTACGCCTTGCCTCATTTGAAAGCTGGAGTAACTCAGCATTAAGTGAGTTGGTTAGCCCGCTCATTGCGTTTCAAGTGTACTCCTATAAAAAAAACTCAAATAATTTATACGAGAAATTAGAGGTTGGCTTACTGTCTTGTTATGATCAAACAGTAATAAATTTTGTCACAAGCCTCAACTACCCACGATTTTCCCTTCACGTGATTTTTTCCAATGAGGATGCGCAAAATAAGGGAAATAGATACCTAAATCTAACTTGGAGCACTAATAAAAAAATAACGGGAAGACAATTTTACATATAACCTTACTCCAACTCTAACCTTAACCTTTAATTAGTGGAGAATGTAGGGATAAAATGTAAGCCTCATTCCTAAATTATTTATTTTTTAATGAGCCTGCAATAACAATAATATTTATAATGCAAGAGATTTTTACAAAAATCACTTGTTTACTTTTAGTAAGAAAGTAAACAACTTAGCTTAAAAGATAAATATTTCTCGTATTATAAAGGATGAATATTCGGTTAGCCAAATTGAAATTTCAAGCACTATTCTCAAGATGTTAAAAACAATTCTATATGTTAACGATCTTATTATCTTAAATAGTAATGTATTCTATTATAACTTATTGAATATTTCTTGTATTATAATTATATAAAAATATATCAACCGTTTGCTAATGCAAGAATTGTATAAACATAAAAAATTAATACTTTTAACCTCTAACAAAAAAAGTTAAATCAATCTTTTATTAATATTAAAATCAAAACTCATTTTGAGTTGAAATTTAAGATTTTTCAAATTAAAATTTGATTTGGTTTTGTTAATATTTAAATAAAAGAATTATTACAAATAATAGTTATTACAAATACATTTATTCCAAATAAAAAATAAAATAAATTACAATTAGATCAAGTAATATTAGAAAAAGTAAAAAAAAAATATCAAATATCTGAAATAATATCAAATAAATTAAGAATTATAAAAAAAATAATTAATAAAAGTTTATAATAGTTTATAGATAAATAAAATATTAATAATTCTTTTTTATTAATATAACTTTGCAATTAATACAAGAAATCATATAGCAATGAGTATAACTTCACAATAATAGCAAAAAATTATATAATAACAAATATAATTTTATAATAATAATAAGAGATTTAGAGTTACAAAAAAAGTTTGAGTTTAATTCAGTTCAAGCTTGAATCAAACTTAAAAGTCCAGTTCAAAAATTTGAATTAAATTAAAAATTTAATTTGAGTTTAATTTGAATTTTAAACTAAATTCAAATCTAATCAGAAATTCAATCCAAATAAGTATTCTAAATAATATTATAAATTATAATCAAAGTTATAAATTGATATAATATAAGTTATTTATATTTAAAAATAATCTGAAATTTTTTTATTATATTATTAAATATATAAGAGAAATGATATATATTAAATAATATCAAGTTACTATAAAAATAATTTCTCTCTTCTCCAGATGAGATTTTTATTATATTTTAATTGGCTAATTATTTTTGATTACATGAAAGATAAGATTTTTAAAATTTCTTTTTTTTCTTTGATAATTATATAATATATATTATCTTCTAATATATTATATAATTTTTAATTAATAAAGTTATTTAAATTATAAAAACTTATATAATATTAAATTAATTAAATACTTTTTAAATATATAATAATTAACTATCTGATATAACATTATTTATAATAAATTAGTATTCAAATTTAACAAAAATTCATTTATAATAATATTAAAAATTCTTTTTAATATTTGAGATATTTTTTTAAGTAATTTATATTTATTAAAAATTACAAGTGAAAAGTATAATATATCAAGTATTAAATTAATGAATATAAAGGGAGATAACAATATATTTATAATATAATTAGCTAAAATAATGCCTGGAATTTTTGATAATAGTATTTAATTAAAAAATTTTATGTAATAAATATGTAATTTTATTATAAAATTATAATTTAATAATAATAAAATATAATTTATTATTAGATGAATTTATTATTAATT